GACTCGGCACACAAATAATAAAAAATTGAATTGAATTACTACTATTATTAGCATTATTTTTATTAATTTCGTTATTATTATTATTATTATTATCATCATCATCATTATTGTATACTGCTCTAGTTGAAACTCAAATTCTCACATTGTGGCTTTGTCTGTGTATGCTTGCTTCCGTATCTTATTCATGCTGTGTAATTAATATAGACTATTATTTTTGTATTCTGTTTTTTTAATTATTTTTGTATATTTCTCTATTCGTGTTAGCTTTGTAATTGGCCTCTGTGCTGTTAGGTTTGCACGTAAATAAACATGAATTGAATTGAATTGAATTATAATATTGCTTACAGTTTGTCTTGTAGTTTTTAAATATTGCCGGTTTTTGAGCACACATAAGTGATCTGTTTTCATATCGAAGTATATTTTTGTATGTTAATATATTTCTAACCTATAAAGAGAGATTTCACACACAATAGGGCGCCAAACTCTTAGTAAGAAAACAATACATTTTTCTTGAAATTAATCTCATACTCTGTAGTCTGTAGTAACACAGCATTTCAGAGATCTCTTGTACAATCACTTAAAAACACAATAAACTAAATCTTTTAGCCGAATGATAATGGATGTAAAATGTAATACACATGAATGAAATGAAGGCTTCATACGTATAAAAGATATTAGCAAAGTTGTCTAACGTTAATTGCAGATAAGTAACAGCATTCAAAATTCTATTTCATAGAATGTGTGGCAACTGATTAGATCTCACCCATAAGACATGCCATACAATTAAGTTGAGATCGCTTACCATTTGAAGTTCTTCCTTACTAAGAGAAGGTTCATATGATGCTCCCTCTTCCGACTGTGGAACTTTTGGAGCAGTTCCAACTGCCACCATATTCACAGCTTTAGCCTGAAAGAAATCATAAAAGACCTTACTATAGCATTGAAAAATCATGTACATGTATAATTTCCTGAAAATTTTCTTTGAACATTTCTGTTTCAGCATGAGACTCCAGATACTTCAGAGTTAGGATGTGTGTTAAGTCAGTACAAATTCCTCCCACACCATTTCCATTTCACTGTGCATAAGTATCTACATGTACAACTCTATTCTGCAGTTAATACAGCAGTATAAAATTATGCATGAAGAAATTAATTTTGTGCTATGCAGTCCCCAACTTTCTTAAATTAACACCTATACAGTGTTGGACTACAAAGTGTTTTTGGTGATTGAGCTGATGGTTTTGAGTTATGAATGCCTTATAGATATTATATTAAAGCATCTTGTTGCACTGAGGTACTACTTATAGTCTATCAAATATTCCATCTATAATGCAACACTCAATAACATTGATTCACACTTCAATGCACACAGCGGTTGTTATGTGCATAAACTGTTATTAAAACTATTAAAATATAAAAATATATATGAATTAGTATAATGCTAAATGTTTCAGCCATATAAGGCCATCTTCAGGCAACACTTATATGAGGAATCCTAATTTACTTTGTACTAATCAAATATCATTCCTCTCTTATTACTCTCATTTCCTTTTATGATGTTTTCTTTTTCATATCTTTTATGTAATGCAGCTCTTTCTCTGTAATGTATAACACGTATTTAATTACTAAAATTCTACTCTAATTGTCTGATTGGTTTATTGTGTATCTGAGTGTTATATTTATGTACTTACGTATTTCACAGGTGTTCTCTTGAGTGTATGTATCAAGTGCACCTTTGCATTTACTATATTGATCTTTGGTGTGATTTCTCTCACTTATATACCATTTTAGGTATCGAGTGTGCTACTACCTATTGTAAAGCTCATGCACTTTTTTGGAATATGGTGCTATGCACTTCGGTGTGTATCATTCATATGTAAATTACTTCTACTAATTTTGTAAATATGGTATTTTTTTAGGGTGTTTAAATGTCTTCCCTTCCTTCCTATCCTTATCAGGTCCATCATATCAGTTATTGTGCTGTATGTGTGGCCTGTGTTTAATATATGAATTGAATAACCAGAATTCCATAACTCACTTTGTAGAGACAAGAACAAACACTAGGTGACCAATTACATGATGTTTTACCTGGCAATGACTCATGTGATGCTACATCACATGCCCTAGCTCTCCCCTTCTCCTACATTAGTTGCTTAATGTAACAGAATTTAGTTTCCAAATACCCATCACACAATCCAATTGTGTCTGCTTGAGTTCATTTGTACAGAGTATTGCAATTTAAATCAATTCTGAAAATTCTCCAATCTAATTAGTAATTAATACTATTTCATGAGTTTGTGTGTGAACCAAGTTTGCAGACAAAAAGGCATTTAATATTTTAATTTTCTTTGTGTTAGGAAGTATGTACAACAAGAATGTGAATTTTTTTTTAGAAATAGTTACATAGTGCAAAACATTTCAGATCTGAACATTGAGCTTTAAGATACAAGCTTTGCCGTTGTTTATCTCATGTCCCTCTTCACATTGACAATTGACCCATGATAATCTTCCTACAGGAAACCGGTTAAAGCCAGTTACAATCAGGACTGCCAGTCAACCATATCACACAAATATAAGACAATGATAACCTAACTACTATAGTATAGCCATGTTGTTATAGCAATATCAGTAATAGCTGTTTAAATATATATTCCTACAAATATATGAATAATAATAATATTATTAGCTTAATAATAGAACAAAGATACTTAGGTAATTTATTTTAGCTATTGCATGTAATTTATAGTTTAGCTTTTGTTGCCTTATTATACTCATCCACTGTTTTATCATATTTAAAGGACTTATTATGTTATTTTTCTATGGTTTTTTATATTATTAGTCATTTGATGTGATGTTTAATCTCATATATTTTTTTAAAAACTGACTTGTCCAATTGTACATAATGTAACAGTTATGGATGTTAAATAAATAAATCAATCAATCAATCAAAATATATGAAGTGGTAATTTCTAGTTACAGGAGGTCAATTAGAAAAGAAAGTAAAGAGGACCATTCAAAATAAATGTTCCTTTCCTGGAAAACTGCAAAGACCTAATAAAGTGTTCAATGGGTTAACTACCTTTGTGTCAGAACATAATGATTCAGCACAATTACAGTAAGAGCCCATACTGGATCCCAATCTTAAATAGCTCAAATCACATGAGATCATTTTTTACAAACCCATCATAATGACCTTCTTAAAAAACATTCCATACCAAAATTCTTGATGAATTTATTTCTCCCATCCAAGCTGAATTTTTGCTACTATAATATACATGGAGTCAACAAATTAAGAATAATATTAAGCATTCAATATGAAATAAAATTTGTCACTGTTAACAATAGGTGCAATTTAATTGACTCATAATACTTCATAACAATATCAATCTGGCTATTGAGGACAAGTATTGTTGAATGAAAATATTGTGATGCATATGACCATTGCTAGGTGACGGCATGATAAGCATGTTCCCGAAGTTATTCTTTCAACAGTGGAATGACATCTGTTGCTGTGTAATGGGTCGCTAGACATGTTGCTACAACCAGGAATAAGCACACAATAACAGAGGAACTGTTGGAGGTGGTGACTTATATTTGGTCCTCCCCGAAGTTATAAAGGGGTGACACGTAAGAACGCATTCATTCCTGTGACAGTTGAGTTGAGTTGAGTTTTCAGCTGTGGAGTGGGTCCCAGCAGACAACAGCAGCTGAAGAAATGACCAATTTATATATGAGAAGCAAGTCAGTTCTGGCAGGAGTAACTATGACCTATTTAAGGCCATATGTTACAGGTATTAATGACAAAATCCTCAATGAGGTAGGCCGAACTATGGCTGTGCCTTTGGTGGGGGCGTATCAGGGACCAGGGGTTGTGTCGGGACACAGTTTTGGGACACCTCATCATGGTCCCGCTGGGTAAAGACAGTCTTGGGATCTGGATTAGTATGACTAACCAGGACCTGCTCATAAATTCTCATAAAGGGCAATAGTGTTTGCATGACCGGAGCCTCCCACGCGGTTGCATTTTGACTTTCGGGTATTACAACAGGACAGCACTCCTATGGGGGTAGCTTTGGTTATTTGAGTTGTCTCCTTGGAGTATCAATAAGGTTTTAAAAGCCCTAAAAAGTTTCAACCAACACATATGGAGAGGCGGTAATGAGGGTTCGCTTAATGCCACCCCCATGGGGCGATTCATTTTTGCATTTCTCCCTGGTTGCAACCACGTGAGTAGCAGATGTAGCAATCCCACTGGCCATCTGTGATAGCCCTCTCCTCCTGAACGTGCACTCAAGGACCTGGAGGCTCGTGAGGGTTTTATTCCTAACAGGACCAGACCACCAGAGGCAAGGTGTGAGACATTGTGCTGTGGGCTGCATGGCACTGGGGTGGTAATTAGCCAGTGTCATGAACGATCCCCTAAGGGCACCGGGCAGCACCCAGTTTTATCTATGCCTTCCACCCGTATGGGACACTGTGGGTGGTGACCTTTTAAATCCCCAATACTCGTGTAACCGCAATGGAAACAGAAATAAAGAACACAACTGGTCCTAAGGCCCTTAAAAAGAAGAGAAGTTCCCCTCCAAGGAGATCCCTATGAGAAATACTTCAGAAAGTGACTGGAAGATCCGATGCCCCATTAAGGGGCCTGGTTGCAACCAGCGAACCTGCTGTTGAATTTTCAACCAAAGACCAGTGGTGAGAAAACTGCCTGAAGTATAACCAGGGACCCCTCTCTTGAAATTAATGACACTGACACACCACTGCAGGGTGCCAGCACTTCTGGCATACCTACAGCAAAAAAGGACTGGGACACCTAGTCTCTGGAGTATTTTTTTTTAATTCTCTTAGTGGGGGGTGGAGTCCAACTGGGTCCACTCAGCACGGCGGCCACTGATTGGCCTATTGGACGTGCCCAAGGTGATTATGATGATGGAGAATTTGGTGAAATGAATATTGGTAAGGGGAACCAAAGTACTGAGAGGAAACCCGCCCCAAAGCCACTTTGTCAACGACAAATCCCACTTGACCAGACCCGGGATCGAACCTGGGCCACTGCGGTGGGAAGCCAGCAACTAACCGCTTGAGCTATGGCGCGGCCTAGTCTCTGGAGTAGGTGGACTCCATCTGGCGATGAAGGCGTTGTCTGGATGTGCTAGACAGAAGTTGAAAAAAGGCAAAAGCAAGGGTAAGCAAAGCAAGAACTGGGAGCATTCAGCAACCAGGAAATGCAGGCATGCCCAAGCAGGGGGAAATCTTAACTTAAACTCTTAAGAGACCATGGTCAGAGGGCGGTAGCCCTACAGAAACGGCCAAACCTACAAAAAGACCCAGGAACTCTAGTGAACCAGGAACTACAAGGAGGTGCTGACCAACATAAAAATAGCTATCCTCAAGGAAACATATCCTGAAGATATGCTAACAGAAGGTGAGCAGGAGCATATTCTAGAAAACATGGGAAGTGTGTTGCGTGGGACTCCAATAAGAAAACTACCATACCTAAAGTCCTGTAGACTGGAGGGATGTGCACTTATGTATATGCACGGACCAACAGTCTGGCCCTTGTCTTGTCAGCGCCATCAACAAGCATAGGCTGGGATCAGAGGCCAAGCTGAATGCTGTAGTACTGGGAACTTCCCGAAGCCTGTTAAAGTAGCTCTCAGGGCAAGGGACAGAGTAGCCCAAACCCTGGATGAGCTGCTAAGATAGATTAGGAATCTAAACCCATGGCTGCACATGGAGAACTGGAGAATACTAGATAAGCAATCTGAGCTTAAAGGCCAGAGAATTATCCTACACATAGACCGGGACTCCTTTGTGGCTATCAAGATCTTTACAGGATTTTCACAGGAAACTATTAATGTCCTGAAAAATCCAGAAGCTCAAATGTGGAAGAAGCTGAACTAA